GATACCTTTGATATGTTAAAACTGATTTCTTTCCATTAAAAAAAAAATGCTGGTCTTGATCTCTGAGTTTATTTTACTGTCTTGTTGAACCCACACACACACATATATATATATGTGTGTGTGTGTGTGTGTGTGTTTCTAGATATTACACACACACACACACACACACACACATTTATTTATTTATTTATCAGTCATTATAGATAGATAGATAGATAGATACTGTTTCTGGATATTACACTTACAAAATGTTCTAGCAAATACAGACTTCCTCAGTGTGAAAGGAATACAGTTTTACTTTTACATTTGTATTTTCTTATGTAATAACAACGTTTTCTAATTCTGTCATGGTATTGGGATAGAGCTGTGCTCTTCAGCCTTTTTTTTTTTTTCAACATAATGGAACACATAGAAAATGATAACATTTTAATGAATTTTAGAGCCAAGACTTTCTAAAATTTTGGAATGATAAAGGTAAAGAAATTGTTTGCTTAAAGATAGCAAAGATCATAGCAGAACTTACTGGCAAATTGCTATCTTTTTTTTTTTTTTTTTTAGTTTCTAGGTAATTTAAGGTTTTTCATGGAAGTTGACTTCTGAGTATTTGTGAATAACTTCTCACATAGTATCAACTGCAAACAAATCCACTGTTGAATAAATTCCCTATGTAAAATTTGGGAACTAAGTTGAACTTTAAAATATTCTACAAATATTCCATATTTAGCTAAAATTACATAATTACTAAAGTTTTTGGAACTATGGTGATTTATATTATAGCATATTTATATCAATTCATGGGTATTTTGTATTTATTGATTATATAAATAAAATTTCTGAGGCTCATATATTCATATCTGGTAAGTTTTTGTTTTTTAGAATACTAGGGACTATAGCATTTATTTTATTCAAGCCATAATTTATTAAGGTAAATAATTCTCTATGAAATTGAGTAGTAACACTAGTAGATGTTTAGGAAAAGTTGCTGACTGACTGGCTGCTTCATGTAATTTAAAAAGTTAATACAGTCGTTAAAGTTGCCTAAGGCCTAAGAAGATCTTGGTGGGAAACTATTCCAGACTGATAAATCTATTCATATAACCCAAATTAAAGTCAATCAGTCTTTTGTTGTTGTTTCCCTGCTAAATAAATAATTTATAAATATTTTTATTTTTTTTTAGTATTTGCTACATTTCTAACATTGTTTTAAACACAGTAGGGCATTAAAAGATACCTAGTTCTTGCTTACAAGGAGGTTACACACACAGTCTATTTACAGAAGCAGATCAGATGCAGACCAAGAATTAAACCAAGTGATCTCACATTTGTATGACATAGGACCTACAGGACACTGGGCACTCTGGAGGAGTGGTATGGTATAATATTCCGTGACTCTGAAATTAAAACTTTTGAGGAACTTTGAAGCATAGATTCTGATAGGATCACATGCTATGAGGTGTAAGAGCTCTTGCTAGAGTGTCAGTGGGTTGGTGGTAAGGCACTAAGTGGACGCGGAGGGGATAGAGCTCTCAATGCCCTGTGAGTGAAGAGGGAAGTGTAACCAACATGGAGAAACCTGGCGTGACTTTTCATGGACATAAACTGGGTTAAAGGATAAGGAAAAGAGGAGCAGCAAGGGCATTCTAGACCTTCAGAATTGTGTGAACAGTCTTGTCTTTCTAAATGCTATGGCATACATGGAAGAGAATAGAAGGGTTGTTTTGATTTGAGCTAACATGGGGATGAGCTGGAAAGAGTAAGGAAAGGAGTGCAGTGCAAAAACCAGAATCCTAATTTCTTTCTTTTACTCTCACGTTGAATGCACCACTTTTATTCTGAGCCCTCTGATTTTTGGAACATACATACATTACTTTGCTATGTAATAGTTCATCAGTTCATCAGAGAGTTTTAAGATGACATTTGCAGATTTATAAAGTAAAACTAAGAGGCTCTCAAAAACTAAGAATTAGTAATGCTAGAATTGTTATGCTTCTATTTCTCTTCTTGCTTCAATAAGTAGTATATATTACTTTTCCCCCTACAACCTGCAGAATACCAAGCATATAAAGAAAACTTAAAGCACAATAAATATTTGTTGAACTAATGCATCTTTCTTGAGAGCAGAGATGATCTTTTTTCTTCTTTTTATGATTCTCCATGATTTCTGGTAGGATGTTTTACACACAGTGGACATCCAATAACTCTAAAGTATTGAAAATGTTTATATTAATGAGGAACAAACATGGCTAAAGTGAATATTAGTTGGCCAAGGTGTCTCACCAATTCTTTCATTCATCCATTCACTCAGGAATGGGTGCACTCACTGGACACCGTGCTAACGTGAGGTCTAGTAGTCTAATGATGACTTTAGCAAGAGCTTCATGCTTTCATGCCTTTATGCAGGCTGGCCAACTCTTACTCTTTCTTCAACTCTCAGTTCACCAGCCACTTTCCCTTTCGGTGTTCCAGACTGGCTTAGGGCTTACCCTTTCATAGCTTTTCTCTAACTGTTCAGTGTATCCCTTACCAGACAGAGTTCCACAAGAGCAGAATTGAATCTTTTCCCTCCTTCCCCGATGTACCAAGCCCAGCACCTTATTGATAAATATTTCTTGATGGGAGTTTGTTGAGTAAGTGTTTGTAGAACAAATATAATCTTTAATGATGGTGTTGTCAGACTTCTGGCTTGGAACTGGCCACTCAGCTTTAATACTATATTCAGAGACCTAACCAAACCAAAGAATACCAGAATTACAACAGTTTGGAGAATGGAGATGAGCCAACAAGAAAGAATAATGGAAAAGTAGCAAAAATGCAATTGCCAAATGTAAAATGAAACTTCTCTTACCATTAATATGGTACCATTAATATGGTACTATTCATATGGAGGGGACATACATGTGTTTTGTTGGTGTTGGACTTCTATTGTGCCTCTAGTACCTTGTTGAAACCCTACTGGTGACCCTTTCAGTCTACCAAATAATAATTTTATCATTAGGTTAGAAATATGGACTGAATAGTTTTAAAATATTTTTCAAAAACTTGGCAATGTTGTTTGTTAACAAATACAGTGAAATCTACTATCATATCTTTATTTATTTGATTGGGGCTTTTCAGTTCCCACCAGAACTTTTTGAGAATAAACAGAATTTATATATAAAGCCAATGTGCTTATTTACTTTATATGAACACATAGGCCATTATACAGTTGGAAGATACAGGCATCTCACGAGTCTTGGATCAGGTGATAGCAGTGATGTCATTCTGTTTTCAGAACCTATTTGGAAGAGAAGTTAAAACAAATTCAAACTTGGGGCACCTGGGTGGAACAGTCAATTAAGTGTCCACTCTTGGTTTCTGCTTAGGATCTGATCTCAAGGTAGTGATCTCAAGGTGATGATCTCATGGTGGTGAGGTCAAGCCCCTTGTTGGGCTCCATGCTCAGCATGGAGTCTGTGTCAGATTCACTCTCCTCTCCCCTTCTTGCTCGTGCTCTCTCTCTCTCAAATAAATATAATCTTTATTTATAGAGATTTATTTTTATTTATCTTTATTTATAGAGAGAGAGAGTGAGCATGAGTGGGGGAGAGGGAAGGACAGAGGGAGAAGGAGAAGCCTCCCTGAGCCCAGTGTGGGGGCTGGATCTTACGACCCTGAGATCATGACCTGAGTGGAAAGCAGACGCTTAATCCACTGAACCACCCAGGTACCCCTAAAAAAATTTAAAACTAGATGGAAGGCTAATTACTTTTAGCACAAGTAGATTTTTTGTTTCTCCGGATTTGATCAAGTGTATTATTTTTCCTAGAAATTCCTTGGGCCCGGCTTATGCTTGTCTTAAATATCTTCACATCCCTAGCAGAGTGCTTTTGCATATTAGTGAGTGTGAATTTAGCTTGATTGGATCAAGCTACTCTTGAGTCAGCTGGTATCCTAAAGGCATAGAGATGGAGTATTCTTTTCACTAACTAATGTGTGCAACTAGTCCCTACTCTATCTAATGCCTGGAAATTTTCTCAGGTGGTCACAAAGAGTGGAAAATGGCTGGATAGGACATTACAGACTCAATAAGTCAGCCTTGTTAGATTTCTCTTCCCTTCACTCTGGATTAGAGTATCTGGAGTTTTGTAGAAATGTAACTCTGACTATGCTTCTCTCAAATATATAAATCAATATATATTAATTTATATATATATATATATATATATAGGTCTACATATAGATCTATAAATATTTCTGTATCTATATATATTTGATATATATAAGACTATATCAATATATATCAATTATATATCAAAATAAATTTTGATATGTCAAAATATATAAATATATAATTGATATATAAATCAAAAAAATTATGTTAATAGCTTGTCTTTATGTGGTGTCTTTATATATGGATGAAATTAATGGACTCATTATCACTGAGAACACTACCAAGAGAATTCTACAACTGTCTGGATGTTATGGAGGTCGGCGCTTGTTATCAGTCAAGAGAACCAACAATTGAATTAGAAGATGAATGTGTAAAACAATCTAAGAGTCACTATTTTGGTGAATGTCTTTAAAAAACCAACCAACCAACCTAAAACATTTAATTGAAAGTAAACCAAAATGAAAGTTCACTAAAATTGATGGCTTTTTTAAAAAAAAATAACAATCTTATACTCATTTGATTTTTGTGGACTAATTCTTGATGCATATATTTCACCAAAAATTAAAAAACAAATGCGAAGTGAGGTCAAATTTCTCCCTTCCCTCCTCACCTTCCCTTAAGAAGGATGTTAGAATTATTTAACCCACACATTGTGTGGGGTAAAGCTGACTTGATCTGAACAGTTATAAAAGTTCTACATACATAGAAGTTCTCAGGTATTGTTATATGGGCAAATTCGGAATAGGAGGGAAATGTAATTTCTACTTTGAATATACAAATAGCACATTTAGGAATAGGAGTTTTCTTTTTAGCTTGTCATGAAGATTAATACCATGGCTCTTGGTTTCAGGTCGCAGCATGAAGGGACAGACAGAGCCTGACTCCCTGCTATGAAAAAGGTAAAGTACAAGAAAAGAACTGTACCTGTGGAAATTCAAACCTATGATTACATACTGACCAAATCTTACCATTTAGTATATCCGTTTGTAAACTAGATTTTTATTTGACTTAAATATAGCAAAAATATGTGCTTTCTTTTATTTTATTTTTTCTTAAAAACAAAAGGCAAGGCATCTCTCCTATAAGATAAATAAACTTTAAAAAGTGTTTGCTAATTGCCCTGTCCTCTAAATATGGCCTCTCTAGAGTGTATTTAATTCTGTTTGTCTTTAGAATGTTGCAGAGTAATGAAGAAGAGTCACACAGGAAATACTGACAGTTTTACTCCTATTTATAGGAAAAGTTCCATGAAACAAAGGAAACCATTTTTAAACCATCTTAGAATAGTTTTTTTAAGCTCAGTTTATGATAATATACTTGGAAATTAACACAGGACTCTTATTTGCAGTTATTCCTTTAGTAATAAGAATGATCACACCAGTTTTGGTGATTAATAATACTACTGATGTAACTCCCTAAAGCCCTTATGAATTTTTATGTAGTTAAAATTAAAGTCTCGCCCACCCGGTGCCCAGGCTTGGAATATATCCTTAGAGACTGGTCCAAAGCCACATAGCCAGTGGCAGATCTGATGTCAAGCGTGCATTTCCTGACTTGAGCTCTGTCTCTATTGCTTTTTCTTTTTTCTCATTACCTCATCCTGTCTTACTTAATTTATGGTGGGATAATATATCCTGAGGAAAATAAAAATAAACAGAAAAGCATAAAATGAATTCTAGCTTACTGCTGTTGTTTTTTAGCAGTTTTCAACATCCTGATTTTTTTCATTCCCAGGGTACTGATGCCCTGTAGTAGACATTGTTACGTAGCAATACATCAGTGTCTCCAAAAAATGCGCTGAGGAATCAGATCACTTGGGTGAGACTCTCATTCACAGCTTGTGTCTCAGCTTCCTTTCTGGAAAATGGGGAATGGAGTAGAACCTACTTTTTGCCCTGGGGAGAATTCAGCAAAATGTAGTTTATTTAAAGTGTTTAGTATAGCATTGATGTTTATGAAAGTGCCCCCCCAACTGTTAGATACTATTATATTTACTTTAATAATTAATATTATCAAAGAAACAGGAAAGATTTATTCTCTCAAATTAAAATACTAACTAAATTGTAGCTCAAGTAGAAATTCACTTTCTGGAGAAGGGTTTCTTAGTGTTCCAGTGATTTCTCTTATAAGCATTGTTAGCACATGGTAAAGCCTAATAAATGAGAAACTGGAGAATAATGTTTTCAATTATTAAAAACTATATAAACCAGAGCAATTAACAACTTAGTTACCAAATTAAATTATTTTGCTTTGAACCTCCAGGTTTATACTGAAAAGAAAGTCCTTCTAGATGTGGCATTTGTTCTCAGATGATGTGATGAATTCTGAGAAAATGAGTTGAAGACATGAATTAAATATTTATTAAATATGCAAGTTTAAAAATTATGGAAATCTTGGGAATTTGTCTTAGAAGTGCTTAGTTGGGGCACCATGAAAGTAGTTTTATTTTTGGTTCTGATTATAAAAGTTGACAGCTTTTTTTTTTTTTAAATTTTATTTATTTGACAGAGAGAGATCACAAGTAGGCAGAGAGGCAGGCGGAGGAGCGGGTGCTGGGGGTGGGGGCGGGAAGCAGGCTCCCTGCTGAGCAGAGAGCCCTATGTGGGGCTTGATCCCAGGACCCTGGGATCATCACCTGAGCCAAAAGCAGAGGCTTAACCAACTGAGCCACCCAGGTGCCCCTAAAGTTGACAGCTTCTTCTTCTTTTTTCTTTCTTTTTTTTTTCTCCTCATCTAGTTAAACATGAATTAAAAACTTGCAGGGTTGGAAAAATTTCTGGGATCGTGTGGTCTTCCGCTTTTCATGGTACCTATGGCACAAATATAATCTATAGAAACGAAAAGAAGTTAAATTGGTTCTTGCAAGAGAGAGGGGTAGAGTTTGGCTCAGCACCCTGGCAGAGCTCAGCCTCTGCAGAGTGAGGACAGACCTCTCCTTTTACAGGTGAGGGAATGGAATCCTGAGGCATTGTGTGCCGTGCTCAAAGACACACTCTCAGACAGACAGTGGCAGAGCCAGGGAGTGAACAAACCCTCTCCTCTTCTGTTCTTTTGGTTGTATGCTATATCCTTCCTAGTGATGAATCTGTAACTTAGAACCCTGATAAACCCTGATTCTTTTCTCTTTTCTGCTTTTATTCCAGAGCTATACCTGATCAGAAAGTCCATTTAACTTGATATCAGCACGAAGGACATTTCCTTGGATTAGTACAAACCCATCTCAATGTTTAATTGACTAAATCATTACTCACCTATCGATCACCTACTGCGTGTTGGCACTATGCTCTGGAAATGTCAAGATAATGAGCATGTCATCTTTTCCCGAATAAGTATGAGAGGAATATAGATAAACACATAAAAAAATGCCATATCTCTTACAGCTACTTAGCTAGAAAATAAAAATTGTGTTAACAATGTTGATTCTTTCAGTCTTAAATAGTAATAATCAAATAACACATTGCTCGTGGTAAAATACAGTGTGTATACCAGAAAGGCATGGTAATTGATTCACTTTATATTTTTATTTAAAAGAATGATTTTCTATTAAGTTAGTTATTTAGTTATTGCTGTGAGTCACGACTCCCATGGGCTGGGAGCTGGTGTCCCATGGTCTTGGATGGCTGGGTGACTGATGAGGGTGTGGGGGTCTCTCTTGTAGAACTTCAGGAGATCATGGTCAATTGTAGGTTTCCTGATAGAAATCTATCTCCTTATGTTATTACCTATGGCCACGGTCACCGTGGAACTAGTCAGAGTTGATTTACACCTCTCAGTGATCGAGTCTGATTGATCAGCCATAATCTAGACAAAATAAGACTTCCTTCAGCAGGGAAAATTAAGTGGAACCCCGGAAGGCCATGTAGCTATGCCAGGCTTCACGTCAGGATTCTTGGCCTTCTTGATGCCTTGCTCATAGTGGAAGTCCAGCACTTTGAGGATTGCCTAGTCTGCCCAGAGTGAGTGCTCACCTGATTTTCTGCCACTTTGACATTGGACTGTGCCTGTCCTTGTCTGCTACGGTAAATCAGGCTGTTTCTATTGCATGGTATTTTAAGTAGGCTGTCCACCTCCATACCATGAATCCTGTCTAGCCTCATTTTCCTATGTCAGGCTATCTTTACTGCTCTACCAGCCTTAAGGAGGGGAATTGGACTTCTCTTTTGATGTCCATATCATGAACGAAGTATAAGAAGAAAGTGGCTTCGTCCTCGACTAGGTAGAAAGAAGTCAGAATCTGGGGCAACCGAAGTGGCTAGGGGTAGAGGGGTGCATTTATGGACACCATGGAAAAGTAGCCCAAATATCTACACATAAATTCTGCTTATTTGCTAACTATTAACCTGCACATAAACAGGTTAGAGACTTCAAAAGACCGAGTACAAAGGTGCATCTGATGGCTAAGTATCTGACTGGGGATATCTGTGGCCACATGATGCTCAGGGAGAGATTTGATTTTAAGTGCTGCCAACGTAGAGGGGTGTTGGTAAACAACCTCGGGCTTTTGGTGGCCTGCCTGTCAAGCCCCAAGAGTAGGGATTTTACTCTGGGAAAACTGAAATAGACAACAGCTAGCAGAGCTGCCAATTAAGGGGATGTATGAGATTTTTTTTTCCCTAAATTGCAGGAAAAAATTTAACTCTCCTTGAAGAAAGATATTATTCATATTTTCCATAATATTCAATAAAAAATTGCAAGGCCTGCCATAACACAGGACCAAATAACCAAAACCTAAGAGGGAAAAAAAAACCACAATAAACCCATAAAGGATTGAGAGATTACACTTATGAGATAGGGACTTTAAAGTAGCTATGGATAATATGACCAAGACCCTGGAGGTACCAAGGTAGTTGAAGAGTGAATAATTTTAGCAGAGAACTGGAATCTACAGAAATTCATCAAGTTGACTTTCTCTAAATGAAAAATGTAACACTAAGAGCTCTAGATATTTTGAACAAATGAGGGAACATATCAGAACATAGGATGAATAAACTGGAAGACCAGGTCGAATAAGCTAGAGAGAAAACAGAATGGAAGAAACAGACTAGTGCATAGAAAACACATGATACCCAAAGTGGACTTCTGAACTCTCTGTTATCCAAAAAAGAGAGTTCATGCTGTGGAGCTCTACACATCATTTCCTTCTAGACTATTGGATGCAATTGGAAACATACTCCAATATGTTGAATTTTGTTGCTGACCCAAAGCTTCTGAAACTCAAGGCAATTCAGGAAAGACATAATTTTGCTGGCTTTAATTTTAAGGGAAAACCTGTCTCCTTTAAGTGGTTATCTTTGCCAATATTAGACAACTTCTGGAAAGAGAATACAGTACAAGGTTCTGGAGGGTAGGACTGATCCAGGTCAAGCTCTTTTACTTAAGGAAATTATAGATTGTCATAAGAATGTATTCATACTTTTATGTTTTAGCTCTTTTTTATTCTTATTCTGGTTTTCATTTCAAAACTGTTTGCATCAGTAACAGATCCCTACCAGCTTCCGTCCTCCTGTTCTTGCTTCCCACTTTTGATTTGACAGTGCTGTGTTCCTTTTTGCTGTTCTTTTGCTGTATTAAAAGACTGTATGGTTTTCCATTTCTGTACAGTTAGGCAGAGAGCAGAATTTTGGACCCAAGCCTTCATAATTTGCACCATGAAAACTGCTTCAGCAACTGCAAGGCATCTTTTCTGGGTTTTGAAACTATTTTTCTTGAGACTTTTGTGCATTGGCTGTAGATCCACCCTGACACTGTTGGGGAAAAAATATACTCTTATAGGAGTCTTATTGGTGACTTGGGAAGAGATAACAATACGACGACATATTTATGAAGATTTTAAGCAAAAGTGATAATATATTTTATCTCTTTACTATTCACTGATGTGCAAACCCATTGTTTGGTATCA